CTCTCAATAATAAAATTTATTATGTTAAAATATTTTAGAGAATATGGATGTAAACATACTGGAAAAGCACCGTTCGGATACCATCACCAAGAAAGAGAAATCATAATAAAGTTGTTAATATTGAACATTAGAAAGAAACATACAATAACGAACCTGAAATCATATCAAAGGTAGAACACACTATGTATCTTCTTTCACATCATTTATGCTTATTTCTAATGTTTAGTATTAAGAAATTTATTATAATTTCTCTTTCTTGGTAACATTGATGTTCTCTAAAATATTTTAACATAATACATTTTATTATTGAAAGATAATGCAATGAAAGTGAATATGTATTTATTACAATGTCAAAATAATACATACATGTAATCAAATATGTTAATAAATGTAATAAATTTTTTTTTAAATTAAGATTTATAATATTAATCATTTATAATATAACCAAACGATATTTTATTCATTTTTCTTGAATATCACACTTAAATGATAATATAATTTGAATCATTCAAATTACTATAACAAGTAATTAACTAATAATACATATAATTCTACAATTAATCTTAATTCAAACATTTACTAAACAGTTTTAAGATCTAACACACTGACCGCTCGCAGTGATTTAGTAAATGTGGAGCCCTTCTTTTATCTCTTTTCTTTCTTTATTTTTATTTAGTGATTAATGCATGCATGTGTCCTCATATGAGACAAGCTGCACCCGTGACGACGATCTCTGAAATAGCGTTACCGTAACAACATTGGTTAGATATTGCCCGTTGTTGCGAAACTATTAGTTACCGAAATATTCTAATCAGACGGGAAATCAGTAATTCTTGCTATATCGAAAGGCCGTCTGAAGGTCTACGTCTTAGTGGAGTCGCACGCCACTACATCTCTATTGAAATTGATTATGATATGACTATTTGTTATAATTGTAATAGAAGTTTTGCAAGATTTTCCCCAATAAATACTTGTTACGTTCGTCCTTCAATCTTACGCGACTTCATTGAATATTTGATCCACTCAGGAGATAATCCATACGATAGCCCCTCGACTACTACCATCGTTATTTCACAGATCAGTCTTTAAATAATTAAAATTTATTATGTTAAAATATTTTAGAGAATATGGATGTAAACATACTGGAAAAGCACCGTTCGGATACCATCACCAAGAAAGAGAAATCATAATAAAGTTGTTAATATTGAACATTAGAAAGAAACATACAATAACGAACCTGAAATCATATCAAAGGTAGAACACACTATGTATCTTCTTTCACATCATTTATGCTTATTTCTAATGTTTAGTATTAAGAAATTTATTATAATTTCTCTTTCTTGGTAACATTGATGTTCTCTAAAATATTTTAACATAATACATTTTATTATTGAAAGATAATGCAATGAAAGTGAATATGTATTTATTACAATGTCAAAATAATACATACATGTAATCAAATATGTTAATAAATGTAATAAATTTTTTTTGTATAATGTTATTACGAAATTGATTATCAGAACATTCCTTCTTCACGATATTAATTATTAATTAGAATAATAATTTGTAAACGTATACTTAAGAAGGTATACGTAATTGAAAACTATAGTTAAAAACGTTAACTTACACTTCAAAATCTTGAATCAAATATAGTGTGGTGAAAGAATATTAACAGTTTTTTACATTTTAAAAATAAATCACAAAAGATCAATATTAAATTTATGCTCAATTTCTTTACCTCTAGATAACCTTTATCTAGAAGATATCTCCCAGAATACAATGGAATACCTTCTGGATAAAGTTATCCGTAACTTTTATCTAGAAGTGAAGAAATTGGGCATTAAAAGAATTCATATACCAAATTGTCTATTTTAACGTAGTACATTTTATTATTAAAAGATAATGAAATGGTACATATTACCATGAAAAATGACTCATATATTATTGAA